TCTGGCTCTGTGTGCGTAACAAGAGACGGAAATTCCCCTCTGAGCTTGGCACAAGAGCTGGCAGCAAAGCCCTGGGAGCCAGGAGCGCAGACTCAAGCCCTTCAAGGTCTGCAAGGATGATTCCTTCTTCCACTGCCAAGTGCTTGTAGAGTTCATACCACTCCCCACCAGCGGCAGATGGTGAGAACTGGTCAGCTGAGGGGTAAATGCTTTGGGAGCCCAGAAAAGTAGAAAGATGCAAAAGGGCAACTTCTGCATTGTTGGTTCTTCAAAACAGTCCCTGATGGTTCTTGAACCAACAGTGGTGAACAAGAGCAGAGTGACAGATTTGTGTTACAGGAGAGACATGAGAGTGAACATCTTGACTGGGGTCTGTTGTGTTAGATTCCACGTCCCCAGCTGTGCCCGCGCGTGTGAAACGCCCTAGGAACGGCAGGTCCCTGCTTGCTGCTCAGGATGCTGGAAGACTCTAAGTGACAGGGATGCTAAAAATGACAGTGCTACACCCTCCAGGACTGGATGTTTTTGCTCGTCTGCTCTTTTTTTGCATTGCTTTTTCAGCAGCGATTGGATTCCCAAACCCTGTTCTTCCCTTCCTTCCCAGCTCAGCCACCATATACACAAAAGCATACCTGAGCCAYGGGAGAAGAGCACTGCTGAATTTTTACTTCACTTTTTGGATGATGCTGAACTGCAGTGCAGGACTTGTCACAGAAGCAGACTATCCAGAGCTGGGCTGCATGCGGCTCTGGCTGCCAGAGTGTCTTGGGCACCGGGGGATACTCATCTGTTTGGCAAAGGGAGATACTGGCCATTTCCAACCCCAGCTCATAGGAGAAGAACAACACAGTAACTTGCGAAGGAATTTCCAGCTCTGTGAGAAGTTATATAGCCCAATGATTTTAAAAATGGTTATTAAAAAAAAATTAGAAAGGAAAAAAAAATAATCTCTGTAGTCGGCATGTCTTCCAGGATCTGTCGTAACAGATTCGTCCGAGCCGGTTAACGGTATTTGCGGTTTGCAAGATGCTACATGTCTGAGTAAGATGACAGACACATTATTATCACCTCTCCACTGTGATCTGTCCAAACCTGTCCCAGGATGCAGCTCCACAGCTGCTTGCTGGGGAGCGCAAGGAAATTAGCAGCCGGAGGCAGCACTTTTCTTCTCTCTCCCTTGCCAGGCTAGTGGCTTTATTGGGATCCATTGACTGCAGTCCTGGACACGTCTTGAGTAGAACTAATGAGGAGACTGGAATGTAAAAGAGGAGGAGGAGGAGAAGGCTGCTAGGGAGGAGGGGGAGGATTTGTGGAAAAAGTAATTGTTGAGCAAATCATTTCCTTCAAGAGAGAAAGAAGAACTTGGCTCAGGCCTCCTGAAGCAGGCAAGTCTAGACGCTTCAGTGTCAACAGTTGAAGATAAATAAGATTTTATCAGTTCAGACTCTGTTGGGACACATCCTCATAGCGGTTCTGCTGCCCAGAGAGGAGTTGGGGGGAGATGGACTTTTCTTTTAGGTGTTTTCATGCAGAAGATTTAGATTACTTTTTGTGTGAGGCTCTCAGTATGCCAGGAGAGAAACACCTCTCCCATCTCCTGCTTCCTGTCCCAGGGAAATAGCTACAGATCTAAGTAGCAAAGTGGCTTTTTCCAGAGTGGGTCTTGGACATTTGCAGCAGAGAATTACAAGTTAATTCTAGTGCATTTTCACAGCTGTGACCATTTTAAGTGTCATGAGTTTTTGTGGGAATGTGTCCCCTTTGGACCTTGCAAGGTGCAAAGCATTTTCCTGGATACGTTACAAGAGCAATAAGATAAGCCTTGGAACGGAGAGGCGAGGAGTCTGTGCGGGAGCTGATGGCAGCAGGGGCTTTGCCCACTGGGCGCTGGTTTGAGACAAAATAACCCCCTCTAAGGAGGCCTTGGGATAGCGATTCCCTAGAGAAGTGGAGCTGAGGCTGCCGTGCTCCAGTAGGCCGTTGAGGGGCAAAGGCTTTGGCTTGTGCAGTCGTTGCTGTTGCTCGGGACTTGCACTGCAACAGGACAGGCCACAGCAGCAGAGAAGAAACAGTAAAACAGGTGGCATTATAATTTCAAAGCAGCAAATGAGCGTAGGCTGGTGCTGAAAGCTGCCCGACTGCCGCAGATGGCCAGTTCTGCAAGAAGACCTAAGCTTCACTGGGTGACATTGCTGCTGGCTGCTCTTCTTGCTGTGCTGACACCCGCAAGCCCCATCGACACGTGAACTTTTGCTTGCCGAACATACAACAGAAGACAAGCTCTGACTTTCCTCAGTGAACAGAATCGCTGCAGTAATAATGTTATTAGGAAGGAAGCTACTAGCCTTTCAGAGGGTAGAATAGGAATTGGGAAAAAAAAAAAAAAAAAAGCAGGGGAGGGGGAAAGAGGTGCCCAGAGGCAGAACATACTCATGTTCTTGTGTAGGTGAGAAGAAAATGGGAAGAAAATGTTAGGATTCAGCTTTTAAGCGCTAGTGTGCTAGTCCCTGCTGGGGAATGCGTTCAGCTGTCCTGCAGTGATGATCCCTGCTAAGATACAGGCACTAACCCCCCAGCACAGGTAACATCCAGCTCCGGCTTCCCCTATACCAGGGACAGCTCCTTTGGAAGGGGGCCAGGGCTGCTGCGCGGGAGCTGCGGAGCCGCGCGAGAGCCGGGTCCTGCTGCGCCCAGGAGCCGCCTGCAGCGTCCCACGTGCTGGAGGCTTTTCCACCTGCTTGCTGCCGGTCTCAGAGGGCAGTTTGTCCAAACCGCAGAGCGGCTGGGAGCGAGCTGCACGAGACGCGGTGTGTGGTGCTGCGGCTGCCGCCGGCCGGGCGTGCGGCGGGGAGGCGCGCGCGACCGCTGTGCTCACGCTGCCTGCTGTGTGCAGAAGCAGGCAGGGTACAGAGCTGATTTTTCTTGCCCAGAGTTATCAGCACGGAGTTCCTTAAAAGAATAGTTTGTTATTGTTGAAGGATCTTTGAAGGCAGCGCTGGAGCTGTTAAGACATGATAAGGTTATCAGCGGAGGCATGCCTGCGTTGAGCGGCAGCCTTTCTCCCTGCAGGGCAATTGCTGTGCTATTTAACAGAGATTTATCCGTGTCATAACATGGTATAATGAGAGAATTTGTTACCAAAGAACTTGCCATAATGCACTTCTGCTCTTCCAGAGCAGTTTTATTTCCCAGGCGTGTTCAGGACTGCCCGGGAATGTCTACATGAAAGAATCCTCTGACAGAAGTTGTCAGTATTTTAACACCTGGCCAGGAAGAACCCCCTCCAAATAACTCTTGTTTTGCCTTGTCCTCTCCTCAAAATGAACATGTTAGTGAACGAACATGTGTGACTTGGGTAGTCACAGAGCCTAAGTAGGTTACTTGGACTAAAGCAGGACAACAGAGCCTCTCTCTTCTACCCAGGCAGATAGGATCTGAGCATCTTCCAGAAAGAGTCTGTATTTTGAACTCAAGTGTACTGAGGAAATTGGTAGGACTGTAGTAGAGTTAGGATCAAATCCGCACAACTCAGATATCAGCGTTAATTCTTGCTGTCACGCACAGCTTCGTGCTGTTCCTGCAGGTCATTCTTCTGGGGATCACACCCTCTAACGCTGGCAGTGCCTTTCTGTTCTTCTAATGCAAAACTGGTGTGCTCGGGAGCTACCCCTGGATGTTTCCAGCCAGCTCCCTCGCTTTCCCTTGCCAATGTCACTAACATTTTGTGAATTCAGTGCTGGTTGCATGAAAGCTTGAACAGTCTGCCTCAGTACTAACCTCTGCCCTGTATATCTTCTCTGAGCTTCTTTTYGAATACCACCTGAAAGCAGCTTTTATCTCTCGCTTCCTTCTTCACTTTCCCCTGTTTTTTGCATTTCATGTGGTGGTATATGCTTATCTAGCCATTCGAGGCACAATGGAGGATAGTTTGCAAAAGCAAAGGCAGAGAAACCGACGGTGATGGGGAACAGTCCCTCATGGGAAGGGAAGCAGTCACTGGAATCGCAAAGTGGATCCTGCTTGGACGGGAAGGGCAGAGGGACCAGGAAACACAAGGCAGCGCAGAGCAGCCTCCTGCTCTGACCAGGGAGCCGCCTGGAACAGGGAATGCCCTGCGAGCACCCTGCTGCTCAGACAGCCCTGGCTCAGGGCTAAACCCGCAGGGAAGCAGAGGGGGCTTCTCACAGCTCAGCACTGGCAGAAGGAACTTCACTAGCCTTCACACACCTGTATTTTGATGGCTCAGGACAAGCTTTAACATCCTCCAGAGTATTCTGCACGGTGGTATTTTTTTGGCGCAAAGCATATGTTGTGAGGATGAGATAAAATACTTTGAGTAGAAACATGCCCTACCATGCAGGAACTGGCTTCCCTCTCCCCGTGCAGCAGGGGTGGGCTCTCATGGAGCAAACAGAGTCTTTGTGAGCTGGAAAGCAGCGTGGCACTGGGCAGGCAGAAGGGCACCACAGCTCTTCCCATGTGTGATCTGAGCCATGCACTGGAGAGGTTAAAGGACAAGTTCTGCCTTCCCACCACCACACTGTTGCCTASCTGGAAAATGCTGTGCAGCTTCTTCTCACCCAGCGTCTCTGCAGGTGAACTTTGCTGCTGCGCCCAGGCTCTCACAGGTCCCCATTACAGCAGGTCTCCCTGCAGACCACCTAGAGCAAAGCTGCTGTGCCCTTCCCCAGGGCAAATGTGATTTTAGGTGTGCTCAGGACAGGCAGCAGTGCCTCTGACTTCTTCTAGGTTGGGAATTCCTGACTGCATCCACCTGGTGTCACTGAGAGAAGATGAAACAGGTGGCTGGAGCTGGTCAGCACACCCAGGAAGGACGAGCTGGGCCTGAATCCTGCACTGCAGAGATGGCTGCTGCCTCATGCAAGCGGCTGAAGTCTAGCACTCCATTCTGCCCCCACTGCCTTTTGTGCCCATAGCACCTCCAGCTCTTTCCCTTCCCTCTTCCTGAGCCATACAAATGCAGGTCTCTTCTTTTCCAGTACTCCCCTCTGCTGAAGAAACTCTACTGCCAGATTGCCAAGACATGTCCCATCCAGATCAAGGTGTCGACGCCACCGCCGCCAGGCACCATCATCCGGGCCATGCCCGTCTACAAGAAAGCAGAGCACGTGACAGAAGTGGTGAAGCGCTGCCCCAACCACGAGCTGGGACGCGACTTCAACGACGGTGAGTGCTGGCCAGGCACCCTGCACTGGGGCCGGCCCCGTCGCGCAGGAGGGCAGTGGCTGAGCTCTGCTGCAGCCTTGAGGAGCTAGTCTTGGGAGGATGAGGGTGAACCGGGTGAGGCAGTGAGCTCCTAAGGAGCTGGAGGGCCAGGAGTCCTGGATGTGCTGCCCCTCTGTGGGTACCACCACCCTGTGTGGGAGGGCAAGGCCAGCGCCGGCCTGCCCACTAATACAGACCTTTAACTTCACAGGCCAGTCAGCCCCGGCCAGCCACCTCATCCGGGTGGAAGGCAACAACCTCTCCCAATACGTGGACGACCCTGTCACCGGAAGGCAGAGCGTGATGGTGCCCTACGAGCCCCCACAGGTACCCCGTTTGCTTCCAGGGTGGTGGGGAAAGAGCTGCAGCATTTTCCCTTGTCTGCCTGTGCAGCAGGGTAGCCCTGCAGCTGGGAGCTGCCCTGCCTGGTGGGGGACAAACCCTGTCCCGAGCAGGAGCCCGCCCTGGCTCCCCCTTGCAGCGCTGGGGTGGATGTGCTTGAGCACACGCTGCCCTAGGGGGTGCTGACCCACAGCTGCCGACAAGTGGGGTGCAAAGCCAGTGCCCAGGGACATCCCTTCCGCTCCTGCCATGGGGTGTGCTGGGGGCCTGCAGCCCCCCACGCAGTCCTTGTAGAGTCATCTCTTCCCAGCTGGGACAGTCCCATCAGGGTGAGGTCCTGGGGAATGTCCCCCCAGATCTCCTCCACCTCTGGTTTGAAGAGTGGCCTTTTGCATCGAAGTCGAGTCTCAGATGCAGGTCTCTGGATTTTTTGCTCCTTGCTCAGTGTCTGCTCTCCTCTCCTGGGGCAGGTGGGGACCGAATTCACCACTATTCTGTACAACTTCATGTGCAATAGCAGCTGCGTGGGAGGAATGAACAGGAGACCCATCCTCATCATCATAACCTTGGAAACAAGAGAGTGAGTCGCTGTCACAGCCACATTCCTGCCTGGAGCAGGCTGCTTTCCTGCTGCCAAGAGGGCTGGGGGCCTCGGGAGGGAGCAGCTTCCCAGGGATGCAGTGTGATTCCTCCCTGGGCATGAGCTCCAGGAGCCCCTTTTGGGGAAGGGSAGGTGGCAGCCCCCTGGCTGCCCCAGCACCRCTGCAACCCTCCTCTGCGCCAGGAATTGCTTGTCCCTCACAGGAGACTCCTGCTCGTGCTCTCACAGCAGACACGCTCCCCAGCTAATAATACTCATGGGAGACTTTACTGGGGCTTTTTTGAGGCACACCATAAAGTATTGACTTGAACCAAGGTGAAACTCCCTAGAAGAAATAACCTCCTTGACGTTTCTGTCCTGCCAGCGGCCAGGTCCTGGGAAGGAGGTCGTTTGAAGGACGGATCTGCGCCTGTCCTGGCCGAGACCGGAAGGCTGATGAAGACCATTACCGAGAGCAACAAGCCCTGAACGAGAGCGCTGCTAAAAATGGCAGCGCCAACAAGCGCAGTGAGTCCTCTTTCCAGGAAAGCTGCGTGGCTCAGGGTGCCGTCCCGTCACAGCTCGAGGCTGCTGGCTGCCMCCCGGGGTGCCTTGCTGCTCAAAGCGACACAGCTGCTTCCATGTCACCCTCTTTCCTGTCTCAGCTAGTCACTGTGCTGCAGAAGCTCAAACTCAAGTTTGCAAAACAAAAAAGAACAATTCCCAAAGCCACAAGTCCTAAAAGAGGGAGCATGTTTGGCATGTGTCAGACCAAGTCTGCTAAAGGTGCTCATTTCCTCGTTTTCGGTGTGGATTAGCAGTGTGCTCCAGGTAGTGCTTCTGCTCCCAGTCCTGCTGCTGCCAGGAGGAGCTGGGCCACAGCAGCTGCCATAGCGAGACTGGGCTTTTGTTTTTCCACTAACATTTTTTCCTTTCTCCTTTCCAGCCTTCAAACAGAGCCCGCAGGGGATCCCAGCACTAGGGGCTGGCATTAAGAAACGGAGACATGGGGAGGAGGAGATGTACTACGTGCCTGTAAGTGTCAGTTATCCGCACTGGTCTCCTTGGCTTGGGCTGGTTATGACTTTGTCCCCTCTGAGCAAAATGCCATGGGGATGCAGTGTCAGGAAGGACGAGATGGCCTCGCTGGAGGAGACAGTCCTGAAGACTCCCGCAGTGCAGCAGGCAGGGGGCCAGCAGCATGGCCCACAGGGCTGAGAGGAGGCTAGAAACAAGGGAGGAAACATCTGTAAATGCACTTGTCTGAGGGAGTCCTGGACCCTTGAACATTTATTGGTTGCAGAGGCATTTTGCCCTGCAGGACTGGGTAGAGAAAAGGGCCGTGGGAAAGGGCCAGGTGAGATGGGCCAAAGTGAAGGCCTGGACTTGTTCCCTCTTCCAGGTGCGAGGCCGGGAGAACTTTGAGATCCTGATGAAGATAAAGGAGAGCCTGGAGCTGGTGGAGCTGGTCCCCCAGCAGCTGGTTGACTCTTACCGGCAGCAGCAGCAGCAGCTCCTGCAAAGGCAGTGAGTACCAGCAGAGCGGCCAGCGAGTTTCAACCAGAAACTTCAGTTTCAACACTGGCTGAAACTTCAGCCCAGAAAATCTGAAGCCCCGGCCAGAAGGGAGTGCTGGGGGAGGGAGGGTGGCTGCCTGCCTTCCTGCTGGAGGTCACTGACTGCTCTGTTTTCTTGAGTAGGAGTCACTTGCAGACACCTTCATCCTACGGTCCCGTCCTTTCGCCTGTGAATAAAGTCCATGGAGGAGGAATCAACAAGCTGCCATCTGTCAACCAGCTGGTGGGGCAGCCACCACAACACAGCTCCAACCCAGCACCCGGCCTGGGGCCAATGGGTAAGGTCCCCCTGTCGCCTTTCCTGCAGCCCCAGGCAGACGAGAGGCAGAGCAGACAGATGGCAGCCACAGAGCTGCACAGAGCCCTGGAGCTGAGCACTCCTTGCCTTGCACTCCTCCTCCAACCCCACATCAAAGCAGAAGTGTTTCAGGCAGATTGTATTGGTACCCAGCACCTAACTGGAACCACTCTACAGCTGAGACACTTGGGAGAGACCTTCACAGTTACCACTGCACAGGGATGAGTGGGAATTTATAGTGTAACTGTATGTCTGCAGTGCATCTTCTAGAAGCTCTCAGAAGAAGGCAGTGGGATCAGACACAGCTGGCTCAAACCCTGAAGTCCTCAAACTGGTGCTCACACAGTGTGGGCTCTCCCTGCCTGTCAGTAGACTCCCTAGTGAGGGACAGGGCGGTTATAACCATTTGGGTTATGTCTGACTCTGATCTGTTTGTTGTGTTGACATGGCTTCTGCCTAGGACCTGGGATGTTAAATAGTCACCCCATGCAACCCAACGGAGAAATGAACGGAGGCCACTCGTCCCAGTCGATGGTCTCAGGATCACACTGCACCCCTCCTCCGCCCTACAACCCTGATCCCAGCCTTGTCAGGTAGGGAAGACGACTGATACCTGGTGTGTGTTGTCCTCTGATGTTTCTTGCTGTTGTCCCTTACTCTAACCTTCAGATCTGTCTAGCAACTGGTCAACTGGCCACTGGTTCCAACTGAGAAATCACTGCTCATGAAATCACACAGACTATTCCTCTCATCTCAGAAATCAAAGCCCAGCTTACTACCACTTAGAAATATGCATTGCCTGTAAAAATCTCTGAGTAATCCTTTCTTGTTCAAATAGAAATGAAATACATGTGAACAAGAATCTGGTTCTATATATGTCAATCTGGCACCAAAAAAAAAAAAA